TGAATCATCCCTATTACTATTAGTGCAAATTAGCTACCATACTTCTAAGTGCAATGAAATTGATGAGACAAGTTTTTGGAGCAAATAGATCATTCGATTCAAATTGAATTCGTACTTTTATAAAAAATATATACTAAAATTAAATTAAGTGAATTCGTATGTAAGTTGATATTCAAACTCATTTTATTATAATAAAAGCATTAACTATCTAACTTATAAATTATATATATATATATATATAATAATAAAACTTTATCGTGTTAATAATATGTTACAAGTTCTTGTGATTAGCATAACTCATTACCATTTCTCTGAAATTAAAAAAGAAAAAAAGCATGTAGCTCTAATTCACAACCTAATCTGCCATCCCACGTGAAGTACACCTTTCATGGTGTCGAAATGTATATGTTTTATATACTTGTAAATAATATTATAACACATACCATTTTAAGTAAACTTACCAATTAATTGGATACGAACATCACATCACATGGCTTTGCTGGTTTTGGATAACTTAATTAATCTTCCTTGCAATCAATCACTAGATAAGATTTTTCTTTTTAATAAAAAATAATAATAATTAAATACTAAATAATTTACAACCTATTTTAAATAAACCAAATTCATATGACAAATTATAATAAATCACTAAATTATTTGTTAAAATTCAATCTGATTCTCAATATTTTTTATTATAATTTAATTTTTGTTTTTTTCATATTTGTTTTAAATGTATAATTTTTTAATTAAAATACTTAAACTATCTTTAGATATTTTAGAAAAATGATTATAATTAATTAATTAAACTAATTCATTATTAGTTTTTTAATAAAAAAAAAAATGTTTAAATATAACTTTTAAAAATATTTTAAAGGTTTATATAAAATTGAGGGAGGATAGGGATGAAGTGTTAATAAGAAAGGATAGGGCATGGGGCCCAAATCCAATCCTTAAATACGTGCGATGATTGACAAACATGTGGCGATGCGTCGCCGTTTTTTGTCGCTTTCCCCTCAAAGGAATGTGAGTAATACAAATGTCTCTCTGTGTTTTCTTTGGATGGTGACCTAAAAAGATTAATTAAAAAATAACAAATTATTTTACTAAATGAGGTTCCAGAAGAACACGTTAACATATTTTTATAATTCAGATTAAATTTAATTATGCAACACAAAAAATGACAAAATAATTGAGAATTTCATAAAATATATAATTCTGCCAATTATTATTAAAAATTCTCATTACGTAATTTTTTAATTAAATTTATTACAAACATACCCCTTAAAAAGAGAGAGTGTTTTAATGAAGTGGGAAAATATGGAGTTCCGTAACTTTTTTATTATTTGAAAAATAAATAGATGAAAAACTTGTCATTAGAACATGTCTAGACAAAACTTTTGTAAGTTTTTACAGCATGAATCTAGACGACCTTGAGGATGGTATTCCACTTTTGGAAATTTCAAGTTAATGTGAGTATATACATATATATATATATATGCATGCATATCAATCTTGTCAAAATGTGTCACTGATCTTGCAGTTCTAGATTGAATTCTGCCATTATAATGGCCTTGGTTCATGGAGATATCACCAAAGGATACATACATACATATATATATATATGCATGCATATCAATCTTGTCAAACTAGGTTGAATTCTGCCATTATAGTGGCCTTGGTTCATGGAGATATCACCAAAGGATACATGCATATATATATATGCATGCATATCAATCTTGTGAAACTAGATTGAATTCTGCCATTATAGTGGCCTTGGTTCATGGAAATATCACCAAAGGATACATATATATATATATATGCATGCATATCAGTCTTGTCAAAAATTCTAAATAGGGTTGTAATTAGTTTTTGAAAAATAAGTGAAGAATATATTTAAATAATATTTTTATTTGACTCATAAACTTTTCATAAATAATAAATATTTGGAATAAAATATATATGACTTAAATTTTTTGGCAGATTTTCTTGAGGAAACATAAATAAAATTCTAATAATTTGATTAAAAATTACAAAGAGGAAATAAGTTGTATTGCGTATTCTAAAAGTTAAATAAATAATTATTTTTTTTTAAAAAAATTAATATTTAATTCTAACCCAAAAAAAAAAAAAAACCTCCATACCAAACATCGTTAACAAAAATCTCCCTCCCCTCACCATACATGCACATAAAGGTATTTATCTGAGTGTATACTGAGACTTATCTTCTGTCTTTTGCACCATGGTCATCATCCATAGCCAGCTTTTCTCCTTAACAATAATTGAAAGTTAGTATACATACATATATATATATATATATAATATATGTTATATAGTGGAGGACAGTTGAGATGGGAAAAGGTAAATGAATATATATATAGTGGATCATGCAGGCAGCTGCAGAAAAAAGCACTAAAATGGGTATTTAACAAAACCAAAAGTAATGCAAATTGCCAAGTGCATGCATGTGTTTCAATTATTTCTTTATCTAATCGAAAAAGTGTGTGAATAGTTAAAAAATTACCCAATGCCAGTAATTTAAGACATAATTAAGAGTCAAAATTTTGATCATTTATTGTTTTAAGAGAAGGTATGTTTTAAAGCAAAAATCTTTAAGAATGATTTAAGTCAAGTTTACAATAAAGTAATTGTAAAGATCCGGAACTTAAAAGAAAATAAAGTCATAAATTAAATGTAGAAGTAAAATAATAGAGTATAAGATTTACATTTCTTACACAATAATTTATGATGTCTAATAAGACTACGGGAATGTCCATTCTAAAAAAACAAACAAAAACTAAACAAATAGCAAATAACTGAACATTCTAAAATGACCTTCACTAGCTCTTGAAGAGAGTCCGGGTGGTGAACTATTCACAACCCTCTTATTGATCAGGATCTGAATCTTAGTTCTCTTGATATGAAGTAGTTAATGAAAGGGTAAGCTACATTAATTCGGTAAGAATATCACACTACTCACCGATACAAAAATTAAAAGTTAGTAAAAAATCATAAAAATAACCAATAAACCTCTTGATTTAAGTAAATTCATTTATCATAAGAAAGTTCATTATAAACTAAGATAGGTTGTGTGTCAGGCTGAAGGTCTATGGTGAACTCAACTTTTCTGTCCATTAGTAGTCTGAAAGTTCATTATAAAACATATTCGAAAAGCCTCAAACTACTGGGATCTCTTAAATACAAATTTTTTTCTTAAGTTTGCACAGTATAAAGAAAACAACCGAGTTTAAGTGCTATGAAATAAGAAAATTGCTATAAGAGAATAATATTTAAAACTTTTATTAGCTTGTAAATTACTATTCGTTAGGAAACTTAAATGTAATTTTTCTCGTGGAAACAATCCACAGTGGCGTATCACGCCACTAACCAATTCATTATTATAAATACATGAGGATCTTCCGTGTCAATCTTTATCAGGTCCATCATAGGTGAAATCGAGTCCCGTGGAAGAGGGGTCAAATGTTGCTGGGGAGGGATCGAATGGCCCTGTAACGGTCCCGGATGATAGGGTGGGGGCTCCGAATTGTATTGTGACGGGTCACATGATACGATAGAGGAGCATGGTTGCATCGAGGTGGCCTTAGATCCTGTCGTTGTATGAGCGGCTTATACTGTGTAGCGCCCGGACCGAGGAGAAAAAAAAAACCACGTCGGCAGCCACGTCGCAGGCCCGGTCAGCAGTCCCGGCCAACCAGGACCTGCCACGTGGCAAAACCACGTCGTTCCAAAAAGGGCCACGTTGGCGATCCGCGTGGGCGCGATCGGACGGCCCAGATTTAAACGCACGGACGGCCCAGATTTAATCAAAAACGGACGGCCCAGATTAAAACAAAATGGACGGCTGAGATCAAAAGGCAAGGGGTTATAAATAGAACCCCCACACCAGACCACAAACCCTAGCCACCTGCCACTCGCCGGAGAAGACGAACCAGAAGCCGGCCGCCGCCACCCGCCGCCGCACCGGAGGAACTTCCGACCGCCGATCGAGGTAAATTTCGTACCCCCGACTCGTTTTTCCACGCTGATTCCTCCTGTGGCCAAATCGGAGCCCAAAATCCCGGCCAAACGGGCCGGAATGCACGGCCGAAGCCCAGCGGCGCCGCCGCGCCCTTCTCGGTTTTTGCCTCCGATGAGCCTTCCCGGGCCTCCGTTTGATGCAATTTTTATATCACCGTGATCACCACTTTTTTCTTTACAGGTTGACAGGAGCCGAATCACCAAAACACGAACCTCGCCGGAGAGCCGCCGCACCCGAGAGCGCCGCCGCCGGTAAGCTCCGTTTTTTCGTGATTTTTTGGCCCCCCGAGGGCCCTAGGATAGTTTTCTCGCAGGGACCGATGCGAGTGTGGTCGAATTCGGTCGGAAACGGCCGAAAACAGCCAACCCGAGGCGAATCGTCGCCGGAGCACGGCGGAGCCGCCGTGCCGGAGTTGCGATTTGGGCCGAAAGGGGCCCTGGGCCTAATTTGAGATTTTTTTGGAACACGTGCAGGTACCAGTAGTGCGTTTCAGTTCCCCGAGGAAAATTCAGGGAAAATTAGGGACAGCCTGCAAGCGCACTGTGAAGCCGTGTTCGGACCCCGAAACGAGTAAGAACCCCTCACCTTATTTCCAATCACGGTTTTAAAGTTCAATAAATGATAAAACGATATTTCATGAATCAACGAATGTGTGAAATTGCTTAGGGTCGCTAATGGAGCCCGAGTCTAGTGTGTTTGTCGGTTAATTGTTATTTGGACTGTTTTACAGTTTTAAACGTAGCATGAGGTTCGATGTTTTCATTTTATAGTTTCGTGTGCGTGTTTTACTGTTTTATTGATTATGGATTAAATGACCGGAATATTGATGCTGTATGTTGTCTGCTTAGCATAAATTATCGTTTTGCTTGCTTGTATGTGGATTAATGATGCTGATTGAGGAAAAAGAGAACGAACAATTATGTGAATGGATAATGGTATAATGTGATCAGCCTGACTAGATATCCTGGGAGATGGTGGACGGACCGGGTCCGTAGGGGACCCTACCGGGATTGTGGTCTCCCATACCGGACGGGGTATGGAGATCTTATGTGTTTTGGCGCCCATACCGGACGGGGTATGGGGACGGCCCGTTTCACCCTCATACCGGACGGGGTAATGAGGTCTACGGTTTGGCGCCCATACCGGACGGGGTATGGGGACGGCCCTGGAATTTGATTTCAAGTATTACGGATTTACGGGTAGCGGGACCCCTATGGATCCCCATGGATACTAGTGGGCTGGTGAATTAGGAAAATATGTTGTGTAACGATTGAATTACGAAAAGTGTGATAGGTATTATGTTATACAGTTCATATATATGTTTCCATGATGATAATGATGTTATTGCTTTCGTATATTGTTTTATGAATTTCACCGAGATAAGTAAATGGTAAAGGTTTTATTTATCGATAAAAGGATTTGTTGTAAATTATGCTCCATTGGTCGCTTTGTGTTTTCTACCCACCTTTACCTCTGTGACGGTGAGATATCGTGATGTCTTTACTGGGCTAGTGTAGCTCATTCCTTATTTAATCATTTCAGATCAAGAGGACATCGTTCCCGAGCCGATTCCGCAGGAGGACGACGAAGGGGACGCTTAAAGACTCCATAGTCACATTCGTAGTTTTTACTTTCAAGTTTCTCCTTTAGTAGTTTAATCTTTTATATTTTGTGAGCACGTTTCGGTTTCAGTGTAAGGGATGTTATTCAAATTTTGACCTCGCTTCCGCATTTGATATTTTTGAATATAAAATTCAATTTTAAATTTTCGGGGCTGTTACATACTGTGGAAGTGGTAGATGGTCAAACAGTTCCCTCCTCTCTTTCATGGCCTACTGGACAGAGATGACTCTCGCTAAAATCTCAAAAATCGATCAACATGCTATCAAAGCGACCTGTCTCGTGCTGTTCTATTCAGTAAGGGACCTCGTATTCTCGTGTCTTTGTACTTATATTTCACAAGAAATGATTGGGCAATAGTTTGTATTCGGTATTTTTAAGTTTTTGTGTAACGAATGGTTCTGAGGAACGCGACTCTAATACTAATTGTAAATGCGTAATAGAGATACGAGAATGTCATTTCTAAAAGAACAAACAAAAATTAAATAAATTAATTAATGACAAATAACTGAGAATTCTAAAACTACCTTCACTAGCTTATGAAGAGAATCCAGATGGTAAACAATTCACAACCTTCTTGTTGATTGCGATCTAGATCTTGGTTCTCTTGATCTAAAATAGTTAATGAAATGGTGAGTTACACTAACTCAGTAAGAATATCACACTACTCACCGATACAGAAACTGAATGTTGGTAAAAAATCATAAAAACAACCAATGGAGCTCTTGATTTAAGTAAATTCATTTATCATAAGAAAAACTATTTATTGCATATATTTACCGTTGCGAGATTTTTAAAATCGACCTATAAATACAATAACTCAAATAATATTCTAATTTCATATTCAAGTGAGTAAGAATAACAACTTTTCATTTTTATTTGCCTATTGGTATTTCTGGGGATTCATAGGGAGTTTTCACTACGCGTGAACCAATATCCAACATTATCAACTAACCAGGCATCTCCATATCTCGTCTGGTATGAGTGCCAAAAATATCATCCCTCAATATCTGGTCCGGTATGAGGGTGAATCAGTTGTCCCCATATCTCGTCCGGTATGAACGCCAAAAATATCATTCCTTGATACCCCGTTCGATATGAGGTAATGTTCACGGTAAAGTTCAATATGTACCCAGTACGTCCGCCATCTCTTAGGATATCCAGTAAGTCTACTATTAATTCATATGACCAAACAATTTTCCGTTTGCATATTAATTTTCAATTTTACAAATCAACCGTAAATCACGCAAGACAAACAATATATATATCAAAGAAGTACAACTGAATCATTTAACCATTCCAGTACATCATCATGTATTTGAAGCTGTAAATTCAACAATCAGTTAAACAAGACAAATAAATAACTAACCGATTCTAGATCCATTAGTAACCTATAATTATTCTTAAAATTTTTTAAACTACACAAAATACCATATTATCAATTTTTAAGCTTCAATTCCATAACAGCGAATAAGGTAAGGGATTTTTACCCGAAATACTAAACTTTCTACTGCACTTACTGACGGTCCTTGTGTTTTCTGAATTTTTCTGCGAAAATTAAAACAAGCTTCACGTATTTAAAAATACCCCCAAAATCATAAATCGGTGTTAAAAACCCTTTTTTGGCCAATTTTGGGGTTCTAGCATGGCGGCGCCGCCATGCTCCGGCGACGACACCGCCGCTTGCGACGACAATTTGCCTCGGTCTGGCCTTTTTTGGCTAATTTTAAACAATTTCAGTCGGCTTTTCACTCATCCCTACGAGAAAACACGTTAGGGGGCCTCAGTTGGCCTAAAAAAGTCAAAAAAACAGAACGGTGAACACAATGGTTGAAAAATCGCACGAAACGGAAAACGAGAAGTGGCTCATCGGAGGAGGTTACGGATTTTTTTCCTGCGGCGGCACCACCGAACTTTGCTCGTATTTTTCAGCTCACCCGTTATTCTTTTTGCTCCGTTTTGACCATGGGGGTGCTCAAAATTAAATTTCGAGCGGATATGAGAATTTTCACCTTTTTTGGCGATCGAATATGGCTCCGGCGCGGCAAACATGCAGCGGTCGGCTCCCTTCTCCGACGACTGGTTCTTCTTCTCCGGTGGATGGTTGACAGCTCGGGCTTGGGTTTAATGTGATGCGAAATATTTATACTCGTCTCATATTAATTTAGGTCGTTAATCACGTTTGATCTCGATCGTCCGATTGCGTTTAAAGAAGAAATGAATCTAAACCGTTTATTGCGATTTGATCTCGATTGTCCGATCGTGTTTAAAGAGAAAACGAATCTGGACCGTTCATTGCATTTTATTACGACCGTCCGATCGTGCCTGAGGAGGAAACGGATCCAGACCATCCACGTGCACGGGAACGCTTACGGGTCGTTCGATCGTGGAGCACGCGGATCGCCAGCGTAGCCTCCTGCGTGGCACCGAGTCAACGCATCTTGGTACGCGGCGTGCTTCGGTTCGTCGAAGCTGCTGACTTGATGGTTTTACATGGAAATTTTTTTTAATTACGTTCTGACCCCAATTTCTTATTTTTATTTCAAAAATACCTTACGAACCCAAATTTTCACCTTATTTTTTTTCAAAATTGTTTTCAATTTCATCATTAACTTTTTTTTTTCATAATCCATATTAAATTAAAATTTATTAATTTCAAAAATAAATTTTTATATATTTTTTATTGTTAAAATTAATCTCATGCCAAATTATGAATCCAGGTATTACAGTCATGATACAGAGTGACTCATTTGTGCTTCTTTATTGTGTTATGGTTCTTCTATACATACAACCAAATTTTGATTTTAATAACAAAAATTAGGTAACCAATTCAAGAGATGTTATTATCTCAAACATTCTGAAGAGATCATGATTTAGCAAAATTATAGGTTAACCGAGATCTTAATATAATGGTAAGCAAAAATCGAATCAGAACAGAAAAAACTAGTCGAATGAAGTATTAGAGAAGTTCAAAATCATAAATTTCTCTTATCCCATAAATATTTATACATTCAATTTGAATTTTATATTTTTATTTAAAACTTATGTTATAATTAACATTATCTTATCATAAATTTCTACTTAAAAAAACATTTTATTATTAATGATCACATCAGAGCAAAAAATTTGATGATCAATTATAACAAGGTGATACAATTTTATTTTCATGATCAATTATGGAATGGTAAAAATCAAAGAAGTTTTGATCAGGATTAACAATAGAAAGCTCTACGTTACATATATTACTAAAATTCTCTCACCACGAAAAATAAATGTCAACATCCTCTCCACATGATGATCCTATATATATACACATATATATATATATAAAACAATATCAGACTCTTAGGAGTCACTTATCTGTTTCCTATTTCATTTTTTCTCATCATGACTCAAATTTTCTCGGCCATTCTGGATCGTCAACTTTAATCTGGCCCAGGACATGCCAAGGCATCACAAGAAGAATATGCGTCCTATAAATTCACTACCCCATCTGTTTCTCTGTCTTTTCTTCTTAAATTCTAATTTACAGATATATACACCTACATACCCACATATATATACATACATATATATACGCAGGTCAGCTAGCCAAACATGGCGCTGCTCAGATCCATCTCTTATTAAAGCTTTTGGAAGCTTACCCCTTAATTATAATAAACCTGTTTCGCCTTCTGTCCACTCCATATAATACTCCAAAACGCAGCCCACGCTTCTCCACAGCCATAAAAAAGAATTCATTAAAAAAACTCACCAACCAGACAGATCGCATCATTTTTTTACAGAGCAAGAGAGTAAGAGAGAGAGCAGAGAAGAAGATGACTCAAGCCTATTGTTTCAAGGAGAAGAAGCCATGCGTTAGGTGGGTAGAAAAGTACTTCAAAGATTGTCTCTGCAATCTGCGAGACGACTTCTCTTTCGCTTTCGGCCTCACGAGTCTTGTCTGCTGGGGACTCGCCGAAATCCCTCAGATTATCACCAACTTCAAAACCAAGTCCAGCCATGGCGTTTCCCTCCTATTCCTCCTCACTTGGGTTGCTGGGTATTTAAATTTCTCTCTGTTTCTTTCTAAGTTACCCATGGCGTCTCACTACTGATTTATATTCGTACTCGTGTTGCAGTGATATATTCAATCTCGTGGGTTGTCTTCTCGAGCCTGCAACGGTGAGTATGAAGACTTGTTAACTCGGTTACAGCCTTTGATGTGAGTTAACTCGTTGTCTTCTTCTTCTTCTTCTTCTTCTCGTTTGGTGGTCCAGAAACGGACTTAATCTGCACCGGCCATAATTCAGTTTCTTGCTTTTTAGTAATCAAGTTGCAGCCTTTATCAGCTTTTTTCATTGTTTTCTTTACGAGTTTTTACACTTCTTGTTCTTACTCTTTTTTTTTTCTTTTGTTTTGTTCCTCCGGATGATGATGATGATGATGATGACGACGACGCAGTTGCCGACTCAGTTCTACACAGCTTTGGTAATGACGCATCGCTACGTTAACTCACACGTGTTTCTTAAAATTTCGTATTTCGAATTCCACCCCTTTTTCTTTCTATAATTTGCAATTCTGTCCAGAAATTCCTTCGATTTGTCCAAACCAAGTAAGGCTGGGCCCCTTATTTAGTTTAATTATCATTTTTTTTTGTTTTTAAAACCAACAAAATAATTATTATTATTTTTAGAAAATTAAAATAATAATAATAATCATTATAATGTATAGATATATTTTTTATTTTTAACAGCTTTATACGGCGAGTACTGTAGTATTAGTACTGCAGAGTTTATACTATGATCACGTCTACAGATGGTGGAAATGCGGACGAGTCAAAGCTAGTCAACAGGTGGGTACCATTTAATTTGTAATATTTTCGCCATATAATCTTAAATTAATTTAACTTAATCATTGCTTAATTAATTTTTAATATGTATTAGGAAAATGATGAAACTAAGCCATTGAAGGCTGAGTCAACTAAATCAGGCATTCCCATACCAAAACCACCACAGAGAGGATCTCAACGTAGGGAATATTACTACACGTACGTATATAATTAAGGTTTAATCAATAATTAAGTATTGATAGTTATTGTTAATTCGGTTTAATTAAAGGTTTCTTCTCTTTTTTTTACAAAAAATTTTCAGATCAGCTAGATCTATGGCTGGTAGTGGAACGCCGCCGTTTCGGACATACTTGAGGACAGCAAGAAGTGGTCCATCGGCAACGGGAGTACTTGACTCTGATTCATCGTCGGACGAGGAGACGGCCCATTCCGCCAAGAAAACTAGCCGGCCTAGGCCCATCCCAAGAACCGTGAGTCATTAATTTTAATTAAAATTATATATGAAGATTCAATATAAATAGATACATACATACATAGTTATTATACATTATTTACGCATGCATCATGCATATATTATATGTAAATTGCGTGTATATAGATACTCTGTTTTTGTTTTTGTAAAATGCAGTTTGTCCGTATATTTTTATTAGGTATATGAATACACATATATGGAGTTGAGACTTGTATAAATAAATTAATTGAGTTTTCAGACTGGTGCATATGGGACATTTCTAGCTGCGTCGGTTACTCTACCCCTACATAGCGACGCCTTGAAGGAAGCTTACACAGGGTTTGCTGCTAGAAGACTCTTGCATGTATGGTTTTGACTTATTGTTATAAATATATATAGATATATGTATGTATGTATGTATGTATGTATGTATATGCATACGTACACACTTATTAATTCCACGGGTTGTAAATTTATATATAATTAATTATATTAGTTTATTTAATTAAAAGTAGGCTAGAGTTATAATAAGTTGGTTTATTCAAATTACAATTAATCAGGAACCAGCTATGGAGCACAGTGCATTTGGGCAATGGCTAGGATGGCTAATGGCTGCAATATACATGGGCGGTCGACTCCCTCAAATATGGTTAAATGTAAGTTACTAATGATAATAATAAATTAATTAATTAATTAATTAATTATAAAATTTTAATTTACTTATAAATATATTCCATAAATTATATATATATATATACATGTAGTTTAGTTTAAGAACTTGATCTAATCATTTAATTATTGACCAGATCAAGAGAGGGAGTGTTGAGGTAATCTCCTTACTTTCCTTGCTTTTCATTGATAATCAATCTACAACTAATACGTAATTAACCTTAATCTTATGGTTAAGAGTAATAATTTTTCGAAAACATAATAATTTAGTATACTCGTACCGTGCAGGGTTTAAATCCTCTTATGTTCGTGTTTGCGCTCGTAGCAAATGTCACTTACGTGGGAAGGTTCGGCTTTCTTCATTTATTTTTAAAATTACTTTCGATAGAAAATAAATAAATATTTTTAGTAATTTAATAAATACATAACCTTTTAATAATGAATTAAATCTAATTAATTTATTTTATTATGTGGGATAATGCAGCATTCTGGAGCGAAATACAGAATGGGAAAACATCAGAGCTAATTTCCCATGGTTACTGGATGCTATAGTTTGCGTATTGCTTGACCTCTTCGTATCCTTACCTATAATCAATATTAATTATTTTACTTAATTTCTCATTAATTAATTAATTAATTAGTTAATTAGTGATTAATTAATTATTTATTTACCTTAACAACTACCCCAATAGATCATATTGCAGTACGTGTATTACAGGAATTTCAGGAAGAAGACTGCAGGTGGTAGCCATGAACGAGACTATGTAGAAGCAAGTAAGGAAATGTTACGTTAATTTTATTAAATTAAATTCTACTTTTTGCCCGTGACGAATTTCTTCTTACCAAGATTATTTCGATAATTTTTATAGACGAATTTTTGTTGCCAAACTTCACTATAACATATATATATATATATATATATATATATATTTAATGAGTGATGTTTACTGTAATTAGCTAAAATAATAACCGATGGAAAATTATAAAAGGCTCAAATCAGAATTGAGATTAATCCAGGCTAATTGGTTAAATATATCAAAAAACTCATATCTCCAGTAGGTGTTTGTAATATTTTTGTATAATATGTATGTATATATGTATATGTTTTTTTGGGCTCGGGCCTCAATTTTTAAGCCTACAAACCAAACGAGCGAATTGTATCCGTAAAGAACCCATGACAACTTGGGCTTCTGGTTTTTGGTCTTCTTGGCATCTTTTTCTCTTGTGGATCTGTCGAGGTTTGATCATATATTTTATCTATAATAATTAAGATTAAATTTGTATTTACAAAATTCCACACTAAGATCATATATACATGTATATATATATATATATATACACACAATATTGACGTAATATTTCAAAATTTCCCCATGTTATGGCTTTGATTATAAGTTGACTACGAATAAATAAGAATACTCTTGTTAATATAAACTTCACATGTGTAACAAATTAAGAAGGCAACATTTACATGTGTTATTAATATTATTTAATATATTTGTATACAATCCCAATGGGTTGACTGAGTATCTATCTATATATATATATATATATATATATAGTAGTACCCAATACCAGCATGGCTGTGATTACTGAAATTCTCTAATTAATACGCCATAGATCTGAAGCAAGCTAAGTAATTAATGAATCAAACAAAAAAAATAGAGAGAAAACCTAGTTCCAAACAACGCTTGGATTTCTCCTAGATTGATTAACTAGCACCTTAGATCGTTACTGGACTAGGCTACAATGCCTTGCCTCCTTTATTATATATACATATATATATATATATATCAGCATTTAACTCCTATATATATATACCCATCTTATATATATATATATATATATATATAAATGAAAATTATTAGAAAAGCCACAGAAAAGTATCAGCTCATTAATGCGACGACTTTCGTGCTTCTTGTTCACACTACTTCGATGAACATGGCTTTTCTTTATATATTCTCCCTCTCTCTCTTTTTTTTCCCCTTAAACGCAGCGTTTTTGTATGTGGGATTTAGAGGGAGGAGCCGACAGAATTTCATTTAGCCTTCTTTTTCTAAAGAGTAAAAATGATTGAACAAAGTCGAGATATAACGCGCTTTCTAATCGTGTTTTGTTTAATTTAATCTGTTTTTTTTTTTTTTTTTTTTTTTGACTTTCCCTTCTTCATATTATTATCATGAGGTGACCATGTCCCCATTTTGTAGTTGCTTATAATATATATATATATATATATATGTATATATATGTTTGGTTTGTATTATATATGTGTATATATGTATATTCATGTTCGTCATTTTAAGATATCCTTAGATGTGAATATCCAAATTTTTTATCGGTGTTCAAACGTCAATAAGGCAATATGTTCATAGCCTTCATGTAATTCATCATATATGTGTGTGTATATATATATATATGATAATTAAGCAAATATAAATGATGTTTAAAAGTATTTCTGGGAAACTGCTTCCAGTGAATATAAGATAATAAAATTAGTCAAAAGGTTGACCTTCTTAATTATTTCAAGTATTCTTATCTCTAATTAAATAGGCTACAAATGAATTAAATAAATATTTTTCTCATACATAATTCATAACTCCAACTTACATAATTAAAGAAAAAAATAAAAGTAGTAATCTTTATTATATACAAAAATATTTAACTTGGTAAATGATTATTATTATTTTTTTACATTGAAATTAATTTAGACCCCAACAAGTTTATGATTTGGTCAAATGATGAGAAAGGTGATACCAAAAAGGAAAAGAAAAAAAAAATAGAGGCATATAAATTCAAGCACTAATAAAGCAAAAGTGCTGAATCTATTATAACCTACTATTACATACAGTCATTATTAAATTAAAAACTATATAGTAAAAATGGTTATATATAATATATATTACACTTATTTATCAACATAAATTTCGAAATAATTGTTCATAATTTGTAATTTTAATGAGGAAAACAAAAATTAATGGTGATGTTATGTCAGTTCTATAAATTACGTTGGGTACAATTAGCATTTTCTGCATAGACATTAATTAATCACCCAATTTTTGTATTGAAGAATTGGCCTCCCCCCATAATTAATGTTAATTAATCACAAGCTAATTTTAGCAGTATATAACTACCCAAACACCTGTAACACATATACACACAGTTATAACATAATATATATATATATATATATATGTACACACGCATACAATCTGGTGTTATTGAATTGGATATATTATCCTAAACAAATTGCTTACTACAAGTTTTTCTCAATCGAGGAAGTCGTGCTCCCCACTATTTTTAATGGGTATTAATAGTAGAAGTTTTTGGTGAGTAGATGTTAATTGTTTTTTAAAGTAAAAAATTTAGAAATGTAATACAATGATTATAGGAATAATCAAATATTTAATTCTGGGTTTGCAATAAGACTACATCAAACATAGTATTTGATGAAAAAGAAAAACTCAAATTAAGTGTGAATTAGTTTTCCTTCATTATCCATCTGCTTCTAATAATTGAAGAAAGGAGAAGAGATGAATGGATTAAAAAGTTTTATCCTTCTTCTTCACTACCCAGCTGTATATATAATCAACAAAACGTTCTCGATCGATCGATCGATCGATCAGGTATACATACAATTATACATATATATATATTAGATAGATAGATACAGATAAAACGAAGTTCTAAGATTAAGTTGTTCAATGGCTGCTGCTGATCTCTATATCGTATGCACAGTATCTCTCTCCATTCACCATCAAAACAGAGTGACCGTTTACCTCTTCGATCTCTTATTTTTACCCGAGAAAGTGGGCAAGAAAATAATTTGAAGAACCTGAGAAATATACACTTCTAAGCGTCGAGCGAAAATGGCGTCTGCAACAGATCATAAGGAGCCCATAGAGCATCCAAAGGACATGGCCGGTTGGCATCGAGCCGAACCCACGGCTTCCCTTTCCCACTCCAATGCAGCAAACTCACTGGACCCGGATGCAGGTCTCTGCACAGTCCTCTGTAATTGTCTCCGCCGAGCCCGTGTTGGTTCCATCTGTGATCAACAGGCGCGATGTTACCTGCAAAAACCAGCAAAAATGGCGGCAGAGACCCGAGTTCGTAGATCCGGATTCTCTTTTGGAGCTCCATCCACTCCACAATCTTCGTCGTATACTCTCCTTCTCTCCATCTAACCAAATCCATAACCATAACTCCGGTGTTAAAGTAACAGGGCTCTCTGTTCCGACCCGCGAAGTTGAGGGAGAGGGAAGGGTTTGACCAGAAAGTGGGAGTGAAGTAAGTAGTGAAGTTGGCGTTGCAGTATTCCGGCGCTGCTAAAACGGCGTCGTTTGGGAGTGACGTGGCTGCCAGCTTGGCAATATCGTCGACGAGGATGACGTCAGAGTCGAGGTAGACGACGCGGCGGACGCACGGTGGGAGGAGATTGGCGAGGTAGTTGCGCGCGTAGTTGAGAGGGCAGTCGAGCGCGGAGCGGATGGAGGTTGAGATGAGGCCGGAAACGGCGTCGTTTTGGAAAGAGTAGGTTCGGAAGTTGAGGTAAGGGAAGGAGCGGGTGATGATGGTGAGGAGTTCATCACGTCGGACTCCGTCGGCGGAGGAGACGAAGTGGAAAAAAATGTTTTGTGGGCAGGTGGAGTGCTGGAGGGCGGAGAAAATGGCAGCCATGGAGCCACGGAGGTAAGCTGCATCGAGGGTCATGGCGACGTGGACAGCCTCGTCGGAGCAAATCATGGCGTTATCATTTGCTGTGTCGAGAGTAGGGCACGCCGGAGAGTTGTAGAACTCTGGTGCTTCTTTGAAACTCTGGGTTGCGGAGGAGGCAATGCCGGCGGCCGAGAGGAGGAATAGGAGGAAGAAGAAATGACGGTGCGGTGGCGGTGGCGGTGGCGCAACCATTGCTATATTTCAATTAATGAGAAAAGGAGAGAGAAAGAGAGAGAGAGAGAGAGAGAGAGCAAGCGAAAGAGAAAGAGAAAGAGAGTTTTGTTTTGAAGTTTTAGGGAGGCAGGGACAACATGTATTCATATATATATGTGTGTGAATAAAAGCCAAAAATGTGTATTGGGCACACGTTGGTTCAATTCTGAGCATCTAAAGTCAACGTTTTCGAATGTAAGAGTCTTTGTATTTCCGTTATTCCAAATTTTGGTTCTCTATGTGTGTACTTATATAATACGTACGTGCTCGGTTTTCATTTCCATGCGGATCTAATATCGTAACTACACGATATATTTACTCCTAATTTTTTAATCATCCATAAAAATTAATTATATTTAAAAATTAAATATTTGCTTATAAACAAACTGAAATTATAAAATTTATAAACAAAAATTTTTGCAATCTTATTTCATAAAAAAATAAAAAATGTCATCTACATCATCAATATTTGATATAATTTCTATATTTACCTCGATCAAACTCTTTCACAAAACTGATCTTAAATTATTTTATATAATAACATATTCGAATTTAATAAATTAATAATCTAACAATTATAATTTCATGAAAATAATTTTAATTTAATTCTAAATGTTTAATGTTTAAACTTAATTCAATAACTTTTTTTAGATCTACAATCTTCGAATCAAATATCGTAGCATTATTATTGAATATAAAAATCACAAAATTCAACATAAATTATGACTGAAGTTTAATGAATCATTTAAATTAAATTAAAATAAATATGTATATAAATAAAAACTTAAGTTTTTAAGTGCAATTCAATAATCGTATGAAATAATTTTAATGAATCATTTACGAGTACATTGATTATTATTTTGCAAAGTAAATATATATATATATATATATAAAAGTTAAAAAAAGTAAAAGAAACGATCAATTGTACTTAGACTAAATTGATTTTTTTTAGTTTAGAATTACAATTTTTTTATGTTATGGATATATTTATACTAATATTAATAAATTTAATATGATAGTAAAAATATTTTTAATTTTTAATATAAATATAATAAAATAAAATAATTAAATTCAGAACGAATAATCTATAAACTCAACGCGGTCTTCAAAATAAAAGCAAAAACACCAATCTCACCGTGGGCTCGTGATGAATTCAAATTTGTTCTTCATATAATCGGATCACATCGAAACTATTTTATTGTTATTTTTAATTTTAGATTCAATAAATATTCTAAAGTTTTTTATTAATAAAAAAAATATATAATAAAAAAAAATTAAGTTAGCTAGAAACTCCCGGATATAAATACAAATAGGCCTACCTGTATCAACTTTTATGTAGCAGGAAGTGACGACATGGCAATTTTGTAATTAAGTGGCCACGTCACCTGATTGATCCGACCGGACGATTCGAAGGGGCCAACCATTAATTGGGGAAGATGTAAGGAAAACGACAAAAGGGTTTGCGCCACGTGGCTTTTCGGTGGGACCCAAAACTTGCCACGTAGGCCGAATATCCTTAAATGAAGACGCACAAGTTTGGTCATCAAGGGACGATGAACAAGTAAATTACCACAACAATAACTATTTTTTTTTTTTTTTATATATATAAATAATTTTAACGAGTAGATTTTTTTGAATTAATTAAATTTTTTTCTTCAAATAATTAGGTATTTGTTTACTTAATAATAATTTGGTCCGTCATCACATTGGAAAAAAAATGTTTCTAAATTTCTATATTAATGTTTAAGAGGATGTGAAATTCTACCTAACATAATACAATATTGTAGTGACTTACTAATAGTTTTGACCAATTAATTTTTTTTTTTTTATATGGCTTGTAGACTTTTAAAATGTTATTAAAATTAGATTTGATTATTTTCCATACATGTTGGATTAATTTAGTTGGTATATTTGGGTTTAATAAGATATGTTTTGTTAAAAAAAAAATTAAGAGTTTGAATTTCACCGTAGATAAAAAAAATTATTGTTTTATAAGTATATTAATTTATGACAGTAACTGACTTATAATATTTAATTAAGTGTGATTGAGAACTTAATTCATTAATATATACAATATTTTTAAGCGGTGAAAGAAATTATTTCATAATCGTTAACTTTCTTTAATTATGGTAACTACAACGAATAAAAAAACTCTGTTTACAAATTTTTCACGTGATTTAAACCATTAGAATCGAAAAAGATTTTAAATCCATTGACATATAATTTGTAGAGGGGCAAATGCACGAGCTTGCCAACTCTATGATTGAGTGGCATGTGAAGCTCACATGTTCTTCAATAAACACTCTTGCCTTTTACAAAATAGAAAAGTTAAGACTTCATTATTATTTGGTTTTTGATAAACTAAAATTATTTTAATATAATTAAGAATAGCATGTGCTACACATGAATAAATCCTTTTAATAATTCATAAACATTAATTTCTTTCTTCATCTTCCTCTTTCTTTTGCTTCTTTCTTCTTCACTTCACATTCAAACTCAAACTCAAACCTCATTATTAATTATGTATGCTTACATATATGTATAGTTACCTAATATATTTACATCTACTTTGTTTTTTTTTTTATGTATATATTCATTAATTATGTACACGCATATACTAATCATAATACAGTATAAATAATTTTTAAATAAAAATTTATTTAACTCGAATATACAAATTGTTATATAAAAAATACCATAATAATCATTCAGATACACTATCTACTTTGTTAATAAAATAAAATTTTAATAATATATGAATTCAACACTTTGAATTGTCTACCATTTTCAATTAATTCTATAATAAATTAGGTACAATTAATTACAAAAACTGATATTGTTATATTATAAAATTAAATTATTGATAATTAGTCTTCTTAATTACATTCTAATTGGGTTTTAATTTTTATAATTTAAATTTAATATTTAATATTTTTGTCACATTTTTCAAACAAAATCAATTGTTGCTATTTTATAATCACATCATCATAATATAATGCAATTTTAACAATAATTTAACGTGTAATACAAAAATAAACCAAAAGTGATAGATTTATTTATTATGTAGTTAAATACTAAATAATTATTTCTTTCGTAAATTCTTAAATTTGATTATAAGTAGATGAATTTCCAAATATATAAATTTTCATGTAAATTCTTATAAAAAAAATCCCATGTTGATTTATACTAAATTTACAGTACATTCATGGCTATCCTATATAAACAGATACATATAGAAGTACATGCGTGTGTGTGTATGTATACATATTTTCGAAAAATATGTTCGTTGTATCTGTACGTGCATATATATATATATATATATAGTAACCAGAAGATCCTAATAACGTAGCCACAGTACTCTATAAACCAGCCAACTAGTGAACCCATTTTTAGTAAATTAAAAAAAAAAAAAAAAAGAAAGGAAAAAGTGACAGTGGGATTAGCCAGTAGGCTTACTTAGCTGACTAAACGTCGTCGTCTTCCCTTCGGTGTTCCCCACCGACAATAAGTCGGGTAAGGCGGCTAATAAAGTCAGCCAAGTTTATAACCCTAGCCGTGTCTGTTTGGGAGAAAAGAAAATTCTCAGAAAACAACAAGAAAACCTACTTGATTAATATCATGATAGCGCGTATAATTTCCGGTCAGAGTTCCTGAATTTTTCATTTAATTTAATTATTTATTTACGCACGCTGAAAAGGAAAATCCAAACCATCGAGAAGAAATGGCAAGAGAGGAAAATTTTAAAAAATCAACTTCTAAAAGTTGAATTCATATTAATTAATTTTTTATTTTCAAGAAAATGCTCAGATAACTACATTAATTATATTAATATCATTATAGATTAGTTGACAAATTACAAAATGATTGTTAGTTAAACTCGAACTTATTCCGCATTCTTCTAAAAAATTCTCACCTTTAATATCAAGCAAAATGACCTTTTGACAATAAATAAGTTGTAATATGTCTTTAAAAGTATTTTAAAACTTCATAAAAAATTCGACGAAAAAATTAAATTTTTTGCTAATAAATATACAGTGGTATAGTAATTGATATTTTGATGTTCTGATATGATGTTACGAATTCAAATCTTACAATATTCGGTTAATATGTCGATAGAATAATAATAACTAAATTAGATATAAATTTAACGAGTCAATTATGTATCTTTTGGGGGGGACAGAATGAATATTATGGAATTTATAATCAACCACTTCAATGGTAATGGAATAAGTAGGAGATTAGTAGTAAAAGTATTGGTGACCCACGGAAGCATAGAAGATCAAAAGAACCGTACAATACATAAATAAAGAACAGAAAAGTCAAAAGGAATTTGGTGGGGGAGGGGGTCAGACCTTACTGTACGGTTCCTCAATTGAATTTGAAAGCCACCCATTGATTTATTCGTAATTTCCAATCCAATTTGGTAAAAAATCACACGCTCTCTTAACTAAATGAAATTGAAATTGAAATCCCAGTTGAATAAAACATTGACGAACGACACCATAATTTAGTTTCAGCAGCGACTTGTGTCTACAAACACTAATTTCATCGGACGTATTCTGTTTAATGTCATCTCCTTTCGACTTAGAAAAATGACTTCGCGCATACAAGTTTGACTCTTTCTATATGTTCCTCTCTACAGTTGTAATAACTGGGAAAAAGTGTACGCAGGAAAATAAATAATCAACATCCAGAATTCATTTATTTTTGGTAGGGCCGAAGATTTACTTCTGAGTTTACATAGTTGAAACTTGCACAAATTTAAAAACAAACTAGAAAAAAGAAAATACATATTACATATAAGATACATAGCCTAAATATTCTCCTGCTCATCATTTTGACAGAGTTGGGAACAATCATCCAAAAGAGCCAGAGAGGATTGTTGCGGTGGACTAGGCTGTCCTGTTACTAATACACTCTTGGATTAGCAAATAATAACAACAGAAGCAAGACAAAAGTACAACCACATGTCTCCAAAATTAAGCATAAGAAATCAACACTTCACCAAAAACCCTTTTCACTACTTACAACACGCTAATTCTATTCAATTCCAAACTATGTAGCT